AATCCTAATCTGGGCAACTCTAGAAAAAAATTCCAAGTTTAAGGAAGCCCTGTTTTGACCACAGGTGACTAGTAAGAAAGAAGTACTGTATATGAGCTTCAGTTTTATATCCCACATATGAATGAAATCATATGGTTCCTAGTTTTTTCTGTCTGGTTTATTTCGCTTAGCATGATAGTATTTTCAAGATTCATGTTGTTGCAAATGGCACTATTTCTTCCTTTCTTATGGCTGAGTAGTATGCCACTGTATATATGTACTACATCTTTATGTAGTCCTCCATCAAAGGACACTTGGGTTGTTTCCATGTCTTGGCCACTGTGAATAATACTGCTATGAGTATAGGGGTGCATATATTTTTGTGAATAAATGTTTTCAAAATTTTCAGGTAGATCTCCAGACTGTTTTCCATATTGGCTGTGCCAGTTTACATTCCCACCAGCAGTGAATGAGGGTTCCTTTTTTCCACAACCTCTCCAACAATTGTTATTACTTGTCTTGTTTATCATAGCCATTCTAACAGGTGTGAGGTAGTATCCAATTGTGGTTTTCATTTGCATTTCCCTAATAGCTAGTGAAGTTGAGCATCTTTTCATATATCTGTGAGTCAGAGGGAAGGGGGTGAGGAGGCAATAAAGGGTGAAGGGGACCAGACATATGGGACAGAAGGTGATTTGACTTTGGGTGGTGGGAACACAATGCAATATTCAGATCATGTATCATAGAAACATACACTTATATAAGCTTTTAAAAAATATACTTTTATTGATTTCAGAGAGGAAGGGAAAGGGAGAGAGAGATTAAGACATCAATGATGGGAATCATTAATCAGCTGCCTCCTGCACACTCCTCATGGGGGATTGAGCCTGCCACCAGGCATGTGCCCTTGACTGGAATCGAACCCGGGACTCTTCAGTCCGCAGGCCAGCACTCTATCCCCTGAGCCAAACCAGCTAGGGCCACTTATATAATCTTATTAACCAGTGTCACCCCAATAAATGTAATAAAGTAAAATAAAGAAGAAGTACTGTATAAAATTCCCTACTTTAAAATAAGACTGGTCTTTTTAACCCAATGCTGGTCTCCTTGATGTATTAGATTTTAAAATTTTTATAAAAAATTGTTTCTTGGGGGTCAAGAAATAGATTTTAAGACTCCTGGGTCTTGACAGTACTAAATTTTTGTCTTTCCCAAGCCCCAGAGAGTATTGATTGCCTCTCAGGTTAAAGAAGTGCTACATAATGCCTCACGGCTTGGGGTGTTTTATTACACGGCATTTACTGGAAGCATCAGGTATTTGGAATATTATTTTTAAAAACCTGTTTTATTTAAACCTCACCAAGCTAGGACAAGAATTTTCAAAGGAAAAGGCCAGCTCAGTTCTGCTTCTGCTTTGGCTAATTCTGGGGTGATGCACTCCCTCCCTGTTGGTCCCCAGACTGGCCTAGTTTAAAGAACAAATTAGAGAATAAGAGTTTTCAATCTTAGGGAACATTGCCTACCATAAGGCAATTTTAAAGATTAGAACTTCATCCTTGTAAAAGCAGTTAATAATTTTGAGACTCCACCATGTGCCAGATACTGTATTAAGTGATTTCCTATACATTACCTTATTATTCTTGAAAAATAATACTTAGAGGAAAATGGGGCTTCGTGAATATAGTAACTTGCCCTTGTACACACAGCTGATCAGAAACAGAGCTGGGATTCAAATCTATGTCGTCTGCCTCCAAATTGTCTGACTTCCACAGGACTTTGCCTTTGCATTTTTCCAGGGCTGACTGATTTCTCTGATTGTTTTCTTAGGGAAGGTGCTTTAACTGTAAGAGCCTTGCTATGTTCTTATTTAATTCCTTCAGTGTTTTAATTGCTTTAATTTATTTTCAAATATTTTCTCCCAGTCACTGGCTTTTCTTTTCATGATCCTGGGTTCCTCAAAGAGAAATTCTTAATTTGATGAAGACCAGGTTATCTTTGGTGTGTGTGTGTGTGTGTGTGTGTGTGTGTGTGTGTGTGTGTGTGTATTGTGCTTATGGTATTATATTTAAAAAATCATTGTGTAACTCAAGGTTACAAAGATTTTTCTCCTAAAAATGTTATAATTTTAGTAATTATAGTTAGATATACATCCCACTTTGAGTTAATTTCTGTATACCTTGTGAAGTATGGAATGAAGTTCTGTTTGTCGAATATGGGTATCCAATTGTTCCAACACCATTTGTTGAAGATTGTCCTATCTCCACTGAATTACCTTTGCAATATACATGTGTTGGTCTGTTGGTAGGCATGTGTTGGTTTATTCTTTTACAGTGATCTCTTTACTATTTGTATTCTAATGTCACACTGTCATGTACTAAAATAAGTTGTGAAGTCGGATAACATAAGTCCTCCAGCTTTGTTCTTTTTCAAAGTTCTCTTGTCTGTTGAGGTCCTTTATCATTTCTTTAGCTTTTAGTTATTCAGGCATATGGTTATAAAACAGCATCTAGAAATCTAAACATAACTTAAAATTCAAAGTTATTAAAGAGTAATCTGGAAACTTTCCATAATCCAGCTTCACCAGGAAATGAGGTACTCTAGGTACTCGAGATTCCATTTGGTTAATCAAAATTGTTCCATATACCTTTCGTGGATTGCCAATTTAAAAAAATAGAATATAAAAATTTATACCAGAATTAATGTTTCAGAAGATACCTTGGGCCCTAGAGTATCTTAGTCACAGTGAGCATTGGTTGTCGATGTCCTGGCAAAGTGGAGAATTACTGATTAAAGGGAGTTTATTTGGTTACATTGCTGCCTGCAATGGTATCTATTCCACTTGTGACTTGGAGGAAACCTTTTTTCAGATATCTGAAGTGTTATCATTGAGAGTGATGTGCATAGCATTTTAGTATCTGTCTCTTTCAGTAAAGAACATACTTGTTCTCTTTAAATTTGCTCTCTGCTGAAGACAATGAGTTGTAGTATTAATTGATCCCTGATAATGTTAGCTACCACTGCCACAGTGTGACAGTTGAAAAACTACTTGTTCTCTTTGGGCCTCAGTTTCTTCATTTGTAAAATAAAAGGTTTGAACTAGCTAACTTGAGTGGCTCATCCAACTCCAATAATTTTTTGACTTTTTTGTAGTAACTTCATTGACTTAAAAATCACAATCCTTTTCAAAATAATTAAACAAAAACTCTTAATGGCAAAAAGCACTGTGGTAAGTCAGACCGGGAGCTTTTTAAGTCAGAAAGTAGTGATATTTGATATATTACAGATAGCCTAATACCACTGCATGATTCTACTTTTAACTATGGCCAACTCTGAGAAAGTAAGATGGCATTTATGGTTCCTGGTACTGTGTCCTGTTGTGGTCCTTGAAACCCATATTCTGAGATGCTCTTTACCTTCTCAGATTAAGGAAAGGAGAAAGAATGGCTATAAGAGAATGGCCCTAAGAGAATGACTCTAAGTCCAGGCTACTCCAAAGGTTCAGTGTACTCCTTAATTGGCAGGTTAGATTTTCAAATGTATCTCCCAAGTACATGGTATAGTATTGAAACCAAGAAGACTTTAAAAAATATCTACATCATTTCCTATGCCAAAGCATAACAGAGCTACTCTTGTCATATCCTATCTGTTCATTGCTATATAGTATGGCCCCAAAAAATGTATACACACACTTTGAATAATTATAAAGGCAATGTTTATTAAAATACGTTTCATTTTCAAAATTGAACTATCATCTGTTAAAGTGTGTATACATTTTTGGGACATGCTGTACTAATAGAATGAGAAGCTCCAAGAGCATTAAGTTTGCTAGAGAATACAGAATATAACTATGAATTAAAATACTAGTAATAAAAGGAACACTTATTGAGCCTATTTATTGAGCACTTATTGGATGCAAGGTGCTGTATGAAGAACTTATTCTACTTCATATCATTTAATCCTCCCAACAATCTCAAAAACTCAGAGAGTTCATGTTCCTTGCACAAGGTCACACAGTAGTAAGTGGCAAAGTTGGTCATCAATCTATATCTGTATCAGTCATGGAGCTTAAATTCTTAGTGACTGCATCAGAAACTATCTCTCATAACTTAACCAGCTCATTTAGAGAGTAATAGAATTTGTAGTATGAATTAGAATGATCTTCTAAACAAAGAACACCAAGGACTGATGGTTTGCTATGGGGTAGGCTTAATGGAAGAAAGAACTCATACAAGGTTTCCTGAGAAATTGCTTTGAGTTATATTTTGAGACGAAGAATATGAGTTGACCTAGAGAGAAAGGTGAGTTCATGCTTAGGGGACCTACTATAAAGATACAAATGAACAAATGATATGTTTAGGGAGCAACACACAGACTTAGTCATTGCAGGGCAAGAGCCAGAAATAAAACTGATGTCATGGAGTGAAAATCCAAGAGATTTCGCTTTATTATGGTAGGCACTAGCGAGCCACTCTCAGTTCTTAAGCAAGGGAGGATACCTAATTAAAACTGTATTTGATTTTAAAATATATCCTACAACTTATGTAGGATGAATATGAGCTTTAAATGCATCAGGGAAGGTCAAGAGAAAATTCCTTAGTAAAATGTATTTGATACCCAGCAAATTATTTTCAGGAGTACTATGCAGCTTGCCTCATCAAGGTCCTATGGCCTTAATAGTGCAGGGACAATATATTTAGCCCCCAAATAAGAGGCCTGGAAGCAGATTTTACACAATGTTCAGAAATAAAGGTGAGTAGTGTGCCACGGCTTGTTTCCATTGTCACTGGTATTGTGCAGTATGCATAAAAGGAGCACACAGGGGTTGTAGATTAGTCAGGCAAATAACTCTCAAATTGAGTTGAATTGAAGTCTACTTTTGGGTGACTCCTGGGTGAGGACTAGTGTATTTGGTGAACTATAGTTGGGTCTGTTCCATTATAAATCCACTAATACTGACTTAATATTTCTTCACACTTTCTGAAGCATTTTCTTTCTCTTTCTCTCCCTTTCTATCTCTCCAGTTCCAGAGACCTAATGACTTCTCACCCCCTTTTCGCTTTGGGACGGTGCCCAATGGCAGCACAGAGAGGAATATTCGCAATAACTATGCAGAAATGCATGCCTACATGGGAAAGTTCAACCAGAGGGATGTGGATGATGCGTTGCTCTCCCTGAAAACAGGGTAAGAACTGCTTCCAAGCTCAGAGTCTGTGGTATGTTTCTCACATTATTAAACGTACATTGAATCAGATGTACTATGTTGGGGTGCCACACAAAGTTACAGCAGGGAATACTTCACTTGCTCTTCATGGATTTCCAAGTTAAATTAAACAGTATAATTCAGGCCAGTGCACAAGGATTCCTATGCTATTTTTGCTTCTATGTATATGTTTTACAATTTGCATCAATGCAACCATGAAACAAGAATTTGAATAGATATAAAAGTAGAAGCGAAGAGTCAATGATAAGGTTCATGTGTTACACATCAAATAAAGACCTGATGAACAAGAGGTGAAAATGATGGTTCTAGTATCTCATAGACAAGGGAGAAATAAAACAAAAAAGGGTAAACATTTTTAGACAACAAACAATAAGAATATGTTGACTGATCTCTCATTCTGTTTTTGTTGTTGTTATTCTTTGATCCAGCTCTATACTCTAGGAAATATTTGTTCATTAAAAGGAGCTCATGATCTGCAAATGTGTTGGCTTGCATAATCCCAGCCACATTGATCTCTTTACTCATTTGGCCTCCTGAAACCACAGCTGTTGAATAAGACAGACAGTTGAGCATTATAGATGTTGGGGTCTGGGGGGGGGGGGCTGTATTGTATGATAACTAGCAATAGTTGGACCTTCTGGTGGCTTCAGTTCTGGAAGAGCCACCAGATGCATGATTACCTAAATACTGTTATTTAAGTATTTTGGTATGTTATAATATGACTCTCTCTTTTTTTAAATTTATCTTTATTGTTGAAAATAATACAAATGTATCCTTTTTCCCCCATTAACCCCTTCTAGCCCACCCTCACCTGCCCCCTGCCCTAGGCCTTCACCACATTATTGTCTGTGTCCATGGGTTATGCATATATGCATATAAGTTCTTTGGTTAAGCTCTTCCCACCCACTCATACCCACCTTCAAATGACTCTATCTTATCACCATAAAGTCACAGCAGATTTTAGATGATGGGATTTGAGCTTGGGGATAGGACTGGGTTGGTTGGTCTGGCCCTTGGTACACCACAGTTATTAATCATATCAAAGCTTTCTATAGGGCCCTCATGGGCCTTTTTAAATATGATGCAAGGCTTATCACACCAGAAAGGGCTTATTTTTTCCTGAGGGGTAATAAAGCTAGCTTTACTTACATAAGTAAAGGATAATGGATGCTTTTCTTGAAGACCTCTCTATTATCCATATGGTTATGTCTGAATTTCTTCCTCTACCTTTTATGTGCTTGAATGTTGCTTTCAAATATTGATTTATGCCTTTCCGCTCTTACTCCTAGTCTACTCACTTCCCTACATATTCCCTTCTTGCAAAATACAATATGAAGGGGTAGGTAAAAGTAGGTTTATAGTTATGAGTATACAAAATACAGAGTTTATTCTTGTATTATTTGTTTATTCTTGTATTATTTACCATACAAACAACTGCAAACCTACTTTTTTCCGCCCCTGTAAAAGGAGGTTCTTATATATGCTTAGGAATTCAAGAGATCTGAGTTCTCTATGTTGCATTCTCTTGTTAGTTTCACACATTTGCTCTTAATACAAGCCTGTGCTGCCACCACCCCAACTATTCCTTTTTCCCTGTGCAGCAAAGCAGAATATTGAGACCTTTCTGACCACAAAAATAGCACTGCACATCTATTGAAATACATACACCTACACTTATCCCCACTCTGGACTGTAATGAACTGGAAAATGAAAAATGTTATATAAATCTAACCCATGCTATTTGTTGTTATCATTGTGATGGTTACTTTTCATTATTTCTGTTATTATTTTTATTGATTCCTTTTTACTTCCTCTCCCTTTCAGACCCAGCTTATGAGTTGGCTTCAGGCCAAACTTACATTCTCATCATTCCTAGTAGGAGGGAAAGAACTCCTCCTTTCAACTTGAAATCACATAAAGAATAACCTGGGGTAGATTCTGGCTGAGTTCCAACTTGAGCCTTTCTTTGAACCAATTCTCCCCACAGTTTTCTGGAGCCCTACTGCTTCATGTTAATGTCCCCATAGGTAGTTCTGTACTAAAATTCCTCCACTGTATTGGGTTTCTTTGTTTCTTTCTTGCACAGGAAACTGGATGCCTTCATCTATGATGCAGCAGTGCTCAACTACATGGCAGGCAGAGACGAAGGCTGCAAGCTGGTGACCATTGGCAGCGGGAAGGTCTTTGCTTCCACTGGGTATGGCATTGCCATCCAAAAAGATTCTGGGTGGAAACGCCAGGTGGACCTTGCTATCCTGCAACTCTTTGGAGATGGTAAGTTAACAAAAGGAAAGTGCCTTCTTAGCCTCTTCTGATGGCCAGTCCAAAACATCAATCTGATTTCTCCATTCTGCTAATCCCTGCATCTCCAGGAAAGCATGTCACAATACACTATGAGATTTGGGGGTTTGTATTAGTTTCCTAAGGCTGCCATAACAAAGAACCACAGAGTGGCTTAAACAACAGAAATATATTGACCTATAGTGCTGGAGGCCAGAAGTTCAGGCTGAAAGTGTTCGTTGGTTTCTTCTGAGGGCTGCCAGGGAGAATTTTTGCATTTCTACTGTCAAGTTCCGGTGGCTTTTCCCTTTGTGCATGTTTTTTCCTTTATATGCATGTGTCCAATTTCCCCCTTTTTTCAGAGCATTAGTTACATTAGATTAGGGGCCCACTCTATTCCAGAATGACCTCATTTTAACTAATTACATCTGCAATGACCCTGTTTCCAAGTAAAGTTCACATCCCAAGGACTTCAACATGTGAATTCAGGAGACACAATTCAAACTATGACAGGGTGAAAGACAGGACATAAGATTAAAGTAGTTGATCAAGGAGGTATGTTTTGGAATTGCAGGCTATGATCAAACCTCCAGGGAGTAAGAGAGGCTGATATAAGATGTTCCAAACAATCATCTCACATGTGGGCAAAGTGGATGGAACTTTGGAAAGTCTCTGCTCTGTATGTACCCAGAGAAAGGGTAGAGAAATCAACTTGTGTCCATCTACTCATTCTTCCCTTTCTCCCATCATGTTCTTTCAGCTGGAAGAGGTAGGCGGCAGACACCATAAGGTATTCCCCAGTGCCATTCCGGCAGCAGACTGAGCAGCCAACTTGCTTTGAAAAAAATTGCATCTCCTATTTCATTATAGCATGTTTTCTGCATCCCTTTTCACTTTATTGTCCAAAGTACCTCCTCCTCCTGTTGGTCTCAGAGAAGCTAATCCAGTTACGGTTGAGCAACTTGACTCTATACTTGGCCCCACGGGCCATCAGCAAAGCAGTTCTCTAAATTATGTCTGCAGAATCGTTGCTGTTAGGGATGAGATAAGAGGCAGAAGAGCACAGCTCTGATTTTCAGACTCAGGTGAAGTGGTTGCTCCACTAGTTAGGAGAATCACAGTTTGGTCAAAGAAATGAATATAAGATGATTTGATTGATGTTGGAAAGAGGAGGGATGACAGCTGGGCTGTTAACTGGACATTTTGGTGTGAGAGCGTCTCTGATTTTAGTAATAATAGAGATCTACCTCTGAGGAAGAACAGCAATAAATCTGATTTGAAAAAGTGACCAAAGCTCTAGTCAGATTGCACAAAGTTCAGATTTTTAGCCAAACCAGAACTATTGGAACAGGAAATTCCCTTCATGAGATTTTCAGAATGTTGCTCATCTAGAATTAGATGCATTCCAGGGCACGTGGTTTCTTTCATTTCCCTTTTGTTTAGGTTCTCTACATTTCTGAGTCCTAGTATGTAGTGAAATGGATAAAGATTATTGAAACCTGACATGAATTGAGTCCATCAAAGCTCCTTTAAGCAGTGTTAAAAGGAGGCAGGTCTGAATTTGGTGGTCTCATTTTATTCAAGCTCACTTCCCTTTACTCTTAATGTTTGTATTTTCCTTGGCAACAAAAGACCAGTAAGTCTGAGGGTCCCTAGGGAATCAGTCAATCTCTCTGCTAATCTCTGTCTTTCCTCTCTTAACGCAATTGCTTTGCACATTTGTTTAAGAGCAATTTTCTGAATCACTTGTTTGATGATGTTATTCCTCACTGTCTACAAAATAAAGTGCCAAATGCTTAGTCTGATGCACAAGCCCTCAGCAATCCTGCACCAACCTTTTTATTCAGCTTTCTTTGCCTACTTGTACTCTGTTTGAACTGTTCCGCATGCCTTTCCCTAAACAAGCCTTCAATTTTCCACCTTTCTTCCATTGATCCTGCTATTTCTGCTGCCTGGAGTGCATTTTCATACAATATACATTAAAATACACCCACTTACCATGCCCACCTCCAAGTCTTATCTCTCTCATGAACACCTACTGGCCACTCACCCACAAAATTACTTGCACTAATTTGAACTCTTGTTACTTGCATATAGTTTATCATATTGATTATGTATATACTGATTTACACTGGATAGATAATGGAGAGCAGTTAATGCCTCATATCTTTGTATTTTCTGCGGTACCTTTATTAAGTTTTCAATGAATACTTGTTGAATACAATGAATACTTATTGAATATAATAGTATTAATAAAATTACTGTTAACTCTCTATTAATTTTTTCTTTATGTCTTCCTGTCTCTTTCTCTCTCATGTTTTTCTCTCTCTCTTCCCCAACACCCCTCTTTCTTCCTTGTTTTTACTCTTCTGCTCTTTTCTCTTTACCTATTCTTCCTGCCCTGTTTCCAGGGGAGATGGAGGAGCTGGAAGCTCTCTGGCTCACTGGCATTTGCCACAATGAGAAGAACGAGGTCATGAGCAGCCAGTTGGACATTGATAACATGGCAGGAGTCTTCTACATGTTGGGAGCAGCCATGGCTCTCAGCCTTATCACCTTCATCTGTGAACACCTTTTCTATTGGCAGTTCCGGCACTGCTTTATGGGTGTCTGTTCCGGCAAGCCTGGCATGGTCTTCTCCATCAGCAGAGTAAGTGGGCTGATTTAGGTGCCTGGAGCCTATAAAAGACAGCTTAGTCTAGCATTGTGCAAAACCGAGAGACCCAGGAGGGCACTGACTCCAGCCTGTGCTGTTGAAGCAAGAAACCACATCATGTATGTTTCCCCAGTGGGGTTGCATGACATAATTTCCAGGGGCTTAAAAAACAGGTGCTGCCCTAGCCGGCTTGGCTCAGTGGATAGAGCATCAGCCTGCGGACTGAAGGGTCCCAGGTTCAATTCCGGCCAAGGGCATATGCCTGGGTTACAGGCTTGATCCCCAGTGGGGGCGTGCAGGAGGCAGCTGATCAATGATTCTCTCTCATCGTGGATGTTTCTCTCTCTCTGTCTCTCTCTCTCTCTCTCTCTCCTTCTCCCTTCCTTTATGAAATCAATAAATATATTTTTTTTAAAAGAAAAAAAACAGGTGCTGCTACTTTTTTTCCTTCAAGAAACAGCTTTCTGTGTAGGGTTTGGACATTTGGTTTTCAATGAGAACTGGCAGATCTATCAGAATAAAAAAGTTGGCCTTTTACCAAATGCCTTTCATCACCATTAGTTAATTCTGTATAGGCTGCCATAATAATTTAATCCTTTTTAAAAAATGATATTCCTATTCAGATAGAGAAATGTAATATGTCTCTCTTATTCTAACATACAAACGTATATTATTGTTTTATTGTTCCCCTCTGTGTTTTAACCATGTGTGAGTTATGGGGAGTTAAAGAACTTAATAGAACCTTCAGAAATAAGTCCTGACCCATAAGAAATTTACATTCCAGAAATGTCCTTAATTGGAGCAAAGTATAACTCTGAAGTTGCTATTTATTTAGACTTCTATGTTTCTAGTCCAAACTAAGGATTTATAACATTTTTAATATGAACATGTCACAAGGAAGAGTAAGAAAAAAGGAGGAGGAAAGTGGACTTCTCATTAAATTGTTCCATCTTTTGATCGTTTTCCTGTAGTATTTCACTGATAGAGAACAATTTCCTCGCGGCTATTAGTTGATTCAGGCTATTCAGTAACATTGGACCAGGATGACAGAATTTGTGGCCCATGAGTCATGTTGATTCCTTGTGTGGCCCTTCCCTAAGGTCCTAGATAGGGTGATGGCAGAAACAATCAGAGCTGGTGACCTGGAATAGAAACCCCATTCATAGCCCTTCTACATAATCAATGCCTCTGTCCAGGAAAAATGCTTGGCATTTTCTCCTGGCCATGATTAAGAATGGTTAGAAAGGAGGCCTGACAAAGAAAGTAGAGTAACCTTACCTTGATCTATGTTGCTGTGTCCTCTGGGACAGTGAGGCTCAGCTCATCTAAACCTTTCTTCTTTGCTATTTAGTTATCATCCTCCTTCCTAACCTCCTCTCCTCCCATCTCCATCCATTGGGACAACTTCCCTTTTCAAATTATCCCCCTTCTTTTAAAGACACAATTCAAACAAGCTCCTCTTCAAATACATTCCCTTGCCAGGGAGAAAAGTTCCAAATTTGTCCACCTTTCAAGGCAGGGAGCAAGATATTAGCAGGAAGTTGGCTTGACTTTTAGACTTGAACCCAACCCATTCCTTCTCCTGGGTAGTGGTGTTTAAGGTCCTGCATACAGGGAGTTCTCAATCAATACTAATTTGCTGAGATATTAATTAATTATTTATAAGATTGAATGAAAAAATATAAGAAGAAAAGCAGGAGCTAAAGAGAGAACAAATAAAAGAATTCTACAAGGAAATTATTTATTCCTATTTAGTAGTAGATCTCTGTCCCAATTCTTCCCTCCCATGGTGTGGGACGCAGCAGGAGAAAAATCTGTCTTTGACCCAAGGGCTTCCTAATTCTCTCTTTGAATTTAGTTCATGCTTGGCTCAAGAAGAGAACTGCTTAGCTGTTATTTGGTGATCAAAATTCTAAAAGCTGCTCAAAATTTGTCAGAGCTGGAAAAGAAAGGCAATTGTGAGCTACAGAGCTCCCCTGTGCTTTCCTGCCAGCCAGTGTGGCCAGCCAGGGCAGAGCAGGCTCAACATCTGTGGAGCGTTGCTACTGATTTCCAGAAGGCTGACAATATTTTCTGCTATTGGCCAATACCATGCATCAGCTTTAAGATGTGAACCCTGGGCATAAAATGGAACATCAGTTCAAGTCACTGAGGGAGTCAGGGCAAGAATGTCTTGTGATTTTATCCTATTTGTTCAAGTCACTTGTAGTCGTGCACCCTCTCAGATAGTCAGCTAGGCCACGAGCTTAGCTCCTAATATGCTACTTCTAAATGCAGGGAGATAAATCGTGCAAGCTTCTAGCCACATCTTTTTACGAGTATATAAGGCTATTCGTTTTATATTTTCCCTGCCTTTTCTTATCATTAGGCAATTAGTAGTGGGTCAGGCGGATTCTTTACAGTCATGTTTTAGCCTCACTGGAGACCTAATCCTTCCCATCCTGCCTGTTCTGCAGGGTATCTACAGCTGCATCCATGGAGTGGCTATCGAGGAGCGTCAATCCGTGATGAATTCCCCCACCGCGACCATGAATAACACCCACTCCAACATCCTGCGCCTGCTTCGCACGGCCAAGAACATGGCCAACCTGTCCGGGGTGAACGGCTCCCCGCAGAGCGCCCTGGACTTCATCCGCCGCGAGTCCTCCGTCTACGACATCTCCGAGCACCGTCGCAGCTTCACACATTCCGACTGCAAGTCCTACAACAACCCGCCCTGCGAGGAGAACCTCTTCAGCGACTACATCAGCGAGGTGGAGAGGACTTTCGGCAACCTGCAGCTGAAGGACAGCAACGTGTACCAAGACCACTATCACCACCACCACCGGCCCCACAGCATCGGCAGCACCAGCTCCATCGACGGGCTCTACGACTGTGACAACCCGCCCTTCACCGCCCAGCCGCGCTCCATCAGCAAGAAGCCCCTGGACATCGGCCTCCCCTCCTCCAAGCACAGCCAGCTCAGTGACCTGTACGGCAAGTTCTCCTTCAAGGGTGACCGCTACGGTGGCCACGACGACCTGATCCGCTCCGACGTGTCCGACATCTCCACCCACACCGTCACCTACGGCAACATCGAGGGCAACGCGGCCAAGAGGCGCAAGCAGCAGTACAAGGACAGCCTGAAGAAGCGGCCGGCCTCGGCCAAGTCCCGCCGGGAGTTCGACGAGATCGAGCTGGCCTACCGCCGCCGGCCGCCCCGCTCCCCGGACCACAAGCGCTACTTCAGGGACAAGGAAGGGCTACGGGACTTCTACCTGGACCAGTTCCGCACCAAGGAGAACTCGCCCCACTGGGAGCACGTGGACCTGACTGACATCTACAAGGAGCGGAGCGACTCGGTCAGCGGAGGCGGGCCCTGTACCAACAGGTCTCACCTCAAACACGGGGCCGGGGACAAACACGGCGTGGTCGGCGGGGTCCCGGCGCCTTGGGAGAAGAACCTGACCAACGTGGAGTGGGAGGACCGCTCCGGGGGCAACTTCTGCCGCAGCTGCCCCTCGAAGCTGCACAACTACTCCTCGTCGGTGGGAGGGCAGAACTCGGGGCGGCAGGCGTGCATCCGCTGCGAGGCTTGCAAGAAAGCGGGCAACCTGTATGACATCAGCGAGGACAACTCCCTGCAGGAGCTGGACCAGCCGGCGGCCCCGGTGGCCGTGACGTCCAACGCCTCCACCACCAAGTACCCCCAGAGCCCCACCAACTCCAAGGCCCAGAAGAAGAACCGGAACAAGCTCCGCCGGCAGCACTCCTACGACACCTTCGTGGATCTGCAGAAGGAAGAAGCCGCCTTGGCCCCGCGCAGTGTGAGCCTGAAAGACAAGGGCCGGTTCGTGGATGGGAGTCCCTACGCCCACATGTTTGAGATGCCAGCTGGCGAGAGCACCTTTGCCAACAACAAGTCCTCAGTGCCCACTGCCGGACACCACCACAACAACCCTGGCGGCGGCTACATGCTCAGCAAGTCGCTCTACCCTGACCGGGTCACGCAAAACCCTTTTATCCCCACTTTTGGGGACGACCAGTGCTTGCTCCATGGCAGCAAATCCTACTTCTTCAGGCAGCCCTCGGTGCCAGGGGCGCCAAAAGCCAGGCCGGACTTCCGCGCCCTTGTCACCACCAAGCCAGTGGTCTCGGCCCTTCATGGGGCTGTGCCAGGCCGTTTCCAGAAAGACATCTGTATAGGGAACCAGTCCAACCCCTGTGTGCCTAACAACAAAAACCCCAGGGCTTTCAATGGCTCCAGCAATGGTCATGTTTATGAGAAACTTTCTAGTATTGAGTCTGATGTCTGAGTGAGGGAAGAGAGAGGTTAAGGTGGGTATGGGAGGGTTGGGCTGTGGGCCTGCGGTGGTGGGCATGTCACGGAGGGTGACGGGGGTGAACTTGGTTCCCATTTGCTCCTTTCTTGTTGTTTTAATTTATTTATGGGATCCTGGAGTTCTGATTTTTCGGAGGGCAACCCTGGTGACCAGCACCATCTCACCTCCCTTTCCAGTTCGCTCCTCCTTTCCCCATCTGTCAGTCATTCCCGTTCCCAAGAGAGGATGCAGTGGGTTCGCTCAGCAAGGGAGGCCAAAGTGGAGAAAGGAAGTGGCTGCTTGTGAGCTTCCTCCTAGCATGGAAGGACTCTGTCACCCACTTCGAGTGAAGCAAGGAGAAGCAAAAGGAGGCCACGGGAGCACAGGATAGCTCTTCCCAAACTGATCTTTATGTTTAGATGAGGCAGCAAAAGCATTCAAATAAGACCATTTAGCATACTTGCCTGTGAATGAAGAGAGGCTTTTGCTAAATTCTTGTGGCTTTGATGGCATCTGTTTAGGGATCACGTGCCAAGCAGAGGCGGGAAGGCCATGTGTGTTGGTATATAAGCCAAAATGTTTGCTTCAATTCCATAAGACTCATTAGTGGTGAACAAAGGTCATTGGTGGATGATGGAAAGTACATCATAGCAATCTTTCATGGTGCCTTAGAGGCAAGAGAGGGTGGACTGACTGCGTGTGCATGTGTGTGCAAATACACTTGCACATAGGTGATCTGTACACACACAGAGTCTGGGGCCTATAAGTGTAGAGAAGGCAACCAAGCCTCATGTTTCTTTCAATATTCCTCAGCAGTGTGCTTGTTTTGGCTTATATACAAACAGAGATGGTCATATGTTACCTGAATGTTGGCTGTCTCATCCCTTCACCCTTCCTGAATGAAGAGAATGGAAGTTCTTGTCAGAGAAGATTCTGTGGTCTAGACAAAAAGTGGTAAACAATCCTACAAGAGCAAGGTACAAAAGTGATTTCTCCAGCTGCCAATACTTTCAACTGGTTTTGGCCAAGAACTTTCCAGGAAGGCTAAAGGGAAGTAGAAGTAGCCATGATCCTCTAGAGAGCAAAAGATTCTATAAAGCTCTCTTGAGCTTTAGACCCTCAGCTGGTCAGGGTTTGGGGAGGAGCTAAGTAAGGCTTTGGAAAATAGGGGAGTAGTTTGTGGTAGGGTAAGTGAGAGAGGGGGATGTTTTCAATGCTTTGATCCCTTCTTACTTAACCTGGAGCTAGGAGAGCAGGCTTGTTCCCTCAGAATCGATCACAACTGGTAGGTAATAGGTAAGAGGCATGAGCTCGCTCATGAGTATAGCTCAGGAGTCATGGAGGGAAGGGAAGAGATTTGGAAGTGGGGAGGAGAGGGGTACACCCCTACTAGCCATTGGGTCTGGCTCCCTGAGAATGTGACATTGAGCCCAATGTGAACACTCTCGGTAGAAGCCCTTCCACCTTCCTGCAACACCTCCTTTCTCTCCCAGAGTATACCATTCAAGAATAAAATATATACATGTAGAAAAATTCCAAGAATGAGGGTACTGGCAGATGTGATGCCCCTTTCACTGAAAGTCGGAAACTTGAGAAGGGAAACGAATATTTGTCACTGCCGGTCCTGAAACTCTGGGTCGGTTCCGCTGTCCTGCCACCCTCCCCTTACACAGGTGGCAGCCACAGAGCTCGGTCTGTTTGGAAGCTTGACTGCAGGACCTCCATGTTGCACACAGGACACACAAACCAGAAAGGTGCTCATCCTCCTCTGGAAGGAAGCTGCCATGTCTCTTCAAGTCACACCCTCCAGGGCTGCTCTTTGCCTTCTGTTTGCCCTGACTCACCACCCTTCCTCATTCCCCACCCTTGACTGCTATCCCCACCCTCCTCCTTGATTTTTTACCTCAGTATCTTTCATTTTAAAGCCAACTGAAGGCCTTGTAAAGCTTTGTTTTCTTTCTAAAATGAACCTGGGGGCAAGGGGCTGAACCTCTCACAAATTTGGAGAGAGGAGCACGGAGTGCTTTACTTTAGATTCAAGGAAAGACTTTGAGAGAGAGGACAGAGGGTGTGAGACGTCTCCAGGAGGAAGAAGGAGAAGGGCCATATAAACATTGCTTCACCCTGACTCTGTCCAAGGTCAGGGGCTCCTCCCTCACTCTTCCTCTTACCTCACCCCGTTCAAATAAAAAACCAAACCAACTAACCTAGCGAACAGCAATCTAGAACAAAGGGGGCTCTGTTGGTCTCCACTGGTGACAGAAATCAAGATGGTGTTTATTTCATATGTAAATATTTTGTTTTCTAATTAATTTTGTATAGATAAAGTGTTCTCTTGTGAGTATTCAGGGTGTTGGGCTGGAGGGGGTGGGGTGGGGCTGGGAATGAAGGGGGGAAAGTGTTCTGTTACGGGTTTTCATTTTCCATTGGGGAGAGTGTTTGTATGGCTTTTGCTTCAGGGTGTCTGGAAAAAAGTGAATGCGAGTGGAGGCCACTGTGGTGAGAAAGCCAGGGAGAGTCATTTGTGTCCATGTTTCCCCACCTCTCCGGTCTTATTGGTCTGTGAGAAGTGTTCATGCTCGTTGGCCTGGGCTTACTTAACACAGGGTCCAGTTTGGCTCTAAGCAAACCCCAGGTTCAGCTCCTAACTTCTAGGTAGATATACTGTAGATCACCAGCATTCCATGCAAAGTCAAGCTGGTGGCACCATATTTTACCTGCCAGTATCTAGGATAGGGAAGATTCTCAAGAGGGCTTAAAGCAGAATGCAGGTCAAGTTAACCTATCATTTCTGGTGTGGCTGAGAGGTTTCAGGAAGCTCAGTCCTAAGGACTCTCCCAGCAGCCCCCTCTGATGTTTAACAACCATCTCAGTCACTGGGACTCTTCTTTCTAGTACCTGGGCACCCACCCTCTCACTGTCCCCTCCCTCCCTCCATGGAAATCATACCTAGAAAATTCCCACTAGATCTACTTTTGGAAACGTGATATCTGGTTACAGGGAGGCAGCACTGGGTGCCTGTCTTACAAATTCACATGCTTTTCTGAAAAGATTACCAGATATGCTCAAAACTCAGTGGCCATATCATTCTCTTAGGTTGCAGAAGTTGGTTTTAGAGGTAGGAAGGGCATGTATCTAAAGGATGATGCCAACAGTGACTTTATATTTGTCTACCCTCATTTCTGCCATTGCGAGGGGGCTGTTTGCCTCAAGCCAGGTATTCTTAACCTGACCTTGGGTTAGAGCCAGGCAAATTGAATTTCTTTCACTGGACTTCTGACTTTGTGAATGACAGCAGCCTCTCTCTGTTTACCACAGGGTGAAATTTCTAAATCCATTTACCTGCGATATTACATTACTTTTTTTCCTATCTTCTATTATCAAATCTGTCAGCTGAGTCATTTTATTTTCCTTAACCCCTTCTTTGGCCCCAGTTGGTCATCTCTCTCCAACTGGATGTTTGAATTAGGACCAAATAAAATTTTCATGGCCTGCTCAAGAAAGCATAAAGAAAGGATGGCTGAGCATTGTTAAGTTCTAAGTGTTACTTCATTCCAAAATAACAAACCAGTAAAATGCATGAGAATGAATTCAGCAGTAAGCCCCATCTATTCCACAGATGGACAGAGACCCAGTCTATTCAAAACGGTGAGATTCCACAGTCACTATTGGAGCAATAGTTGTTCCAATTTTCTTCAGAGTCCATGTTTCCCATCTTTGTGTGCTCTATCATTTCCTTCCACTGTGGCAGTGGGTTGGTGGGTATGGTCCTGTATCATTCCTTTCAGTGGGCTGCTTAAATCTCAGCATTTCTACTGACCTCAAATAATCTGGCCCTTGAGTTTGCCTGAGTCAAGAATGTGCATACCCTTCAGAGTGATGCATGTCTAGTGGGTCTTGTAATTTCAAATTATTTCACTGTGTATTCTCAGCCAGGATGCAGGAAACATTCTCGCTGTGGATTCCCCTGTGCCGGCCACCCATGTTGTGATTGGGGGAGAAAATCCCAAATGATTCCATTAAATGTTGGTGGTGTCAGTAGTGCCAAAATGCATGTATACTGTGATAAAATGAGAGTCATCTATAATTAAGTGAATATCACCCACCCAGTCTCTCTTTGCATCTAAAGTTGCCCAAGGGGAAACTCTCTGCATGAGAGGTCAAGAAATGTGTAACCAAAACTGCAGTGTGCTGGTCACCTGCGCATCTCATTTAAGAACTAGAGTTTCTTTGGGATTTTGTTTGTTGTTTGTTTGGTTTAGTTAGTTAGTTCAAGATTTATGGACAGAATAACCAGATGGTTTGGGCAATAGCCTTTGGAGAAAGCTATTCTAAAATTACTTTATTCTTTTAATCCCAAACTCTCTATAAAAATCCTAGTCATTGCTTAACACCTGTATGTGTCTGCTTGGTGTGTTAGGAATGATTTAGATGTGTGCATAAATAATGCAGCTGCAGTGCTATTGATGAATGCATTCGGTGTTTCCAGGTATTATGGCCATAAATTATGTGCTCTCTGAGCCCAAAGCCATATAAAAAAATGTGTGCTCAGTAGACTGCCAAATACTTTGGTAGAGCATTTGCTTTCTTCGCTTGAGTATCAGAGACTATCCTTCCTGTCTAAGAAACTCTACATGGATGAGAAGCAGTTAAGAGTAGATAGTTATACTGGAATGCGTCTGGCCTTACAAATGGTATATGGTCCATGGTGTGATTTCAGAGGTCCTGGGAAGACCTTCACTTTTCATTCCCCATCCTTCTCCAAATACTGGCTTCTCACACAGATTTACTCCTTTATCACTGAGCTGCTCATCTGTCATTTAAATGAAACCAGGAAGGGTGATATATTAAGCCATATTAGGGATTTATACACTGAAATACCTAGTGTGCATTAGGTTTCTCATTTATTTTCCTGGGAATAAATTAATGATATAGAAGAAGACAGAGAGAGCAAAGAACACTGAGAGTAACAGAGTAGAGAGTAAAGACATAGGTTCTAGAGTATAAGCACATTTAAACCCTCCCATCTTCCATCTGCTTTTACTTAAGGTTCATGTGACATGGGATTAGGACTCCTAGCTAGGAATTATTTTCAATAAGCAGTCACATGAATATGTAGTTTATGAATTTATAAATTCAGTACCTTATAGGGTGGGTTAAGGACTATGACTTTTTCAACAGAAAATGGAAGACTGATGCTTCTCCTCCATTACAGGTTACTGAGTGGGCAGCTAGAAAAATCAATTGAATTAATGTTATGATAATAAAAAGTTACTGTAATTATCTGTTCTCTGTTCCAGTTCAATTAATCTTCCAATTTTGCTGAGTTGCTTTGTATATTTTACTTCCCAAACTCCAAAGAGGGTGCCCAATGATCCCAACACACACTTAACTAACTGTTAAGGAGCTACTGGACTACCACGTGCTACTTAACCAGTGGGCAATTCTTTTTTAGACCTACCAGATATTTGGGGTGTCACTGAAATGTAGATTTGTCATTCTGAGAACTTCTACTGATCTAGATGGAAGATTCCATTCTAATTTGGAGATTCCAGTATTACATATAATCACATGATAACAGAATACATCCCGTCTCCATCTCTTTCCAGCCACGACTCAATCATACCTTATGGGTCCTATGACTTCAAGTATATAGACCTATCTATTCTCATGGCCTAGAACCCTGTCAAAAAATCACCTTAAAGTCAGTACTATTTCCATGCCTTGGAGAGAGAGAAGTAGGTTAGTGAAATTTGGGGCCTCTCATTTACAATATTGAAGCAAGGAAAATGAATTTTGCCCAAAGAGTGATGAGTTAGGATAGCAATGCTGGAATAAGTGAGGAAAGTTAGAAATAATTAACCCTTCTCTGCCAGTGTGGCCATTTGCATCCATCTCAGACTCATCACAGAGAGTTTCTGGCACTTTTCCATACTTCTAAACATAATTGCCAGTGTAAGTCGGAGGGTGAGGACTCCTGATGAGAACTGAAGGTGGAAAGCAGAGTGGATGAGTAGAATTTCCCATAGCCTTGAGACTGGTGGATAGAATCTGTATTTTGGCAAAGGTAAAATAGATGGAACTCAGTCTAAGAGTTAGGATACAATTAAAAGCACAACACTAAGCCCACTATAAAACTGTTACTCCACATTTTAAATCAGAATTCTCTTTATTTGTAATTATTTGAGCATTGTACTTTAGGGGGTGGAGCAGATTCCTGTACTATGTAGGAGGGGGGAAAAATAAAAGCTCTTTAACATAGTTAAATATGTTAGTTAAATTAAACCAATGTTTATTGAGTATATACTATGCCCTGGGCTGGTGCTGTGAAGAATATAAAAGATTTTAAAATGACGTATATTATGTTTATATAATATATGAACACAAAAGTATAAAATATTTCAATGTATGTAGTATGTATCTATAAATAGCTGTGTATAAATTAGTATATTTATCCATGCAGATTTAATGTTTTCTGGTTTCAGGGTGTGCATCCAAGATATTACCCATTATATTATTTTTAATAACACTGCAGAGATTCAGCTTTCCACATAATGGCCAGCCCTAGATTTCTTCTTCTGAGAATTATTTCAGGTAAAACTCTGAAATTCCCTTTCTGGCCACAACCTTGCATTTTCTGTATCTTATCTACCTTCCTTCAAGCTCCCTCTGTTGTTCTGGTCCATAAAACCCTCTGACTTCATGTACTTCCCTCTTTGGTCTAACCCCATGTTCACCAAATCAACAGTACTGTCACCAGCAATGTCTTCTTCTTTCCTTCCATCTCCAAGGTCTTAAACTGATGCTGAAGAGCACAAACTTGACCCATTTAATCTCACCAGAACCCTACCCAGCTTGGACATCTTTTTATTTCTCCAATGTTAATTCCATGTCATATTCTCCAAGTGTTTGTTAAATTTCTTTTTCATTTTGCCTATCATTTTATCTACTCTATTGCAATAGGCAGTCTTTCCTATCATGCTACTAAGAAAAGATATCTAATTTATGAATTCTTATGTAACTTCTCTCTACTTTAAATTTCTTCTGTCCTCATTCATCTTTTCCATCTTCACTCCCTGTCTCTGGCACCCACCCTCTAACCTCTTCTAAGTTCCACTCCAGCCAATAATACTTCTGTCTGTTGCATCTTTAATTTCTTACACACACCTGCCTCGTAGCATCTCTAAAACAAATCTTACAACAATCTTGAAAAACAAATCTCTCAATCCAATTAGATTCTCGAATTCATGTACTATCTCCATTTATTTTTTTCACTTCCAAACTTCTCAAAAGGCTAGTCTTTCTTTTTTTACTTCCTCATCTAGTGTTCATGAACTGAATTTTAAAATTGGGCATCACACTACCACTCTATTGAAAGTATTCTATGGCAAGATTTCAATGAACTTCTTGTTACAAAATTCAAACCCCCCATTTTTTCTTGTTCTTCAGCCTCATGGAGATTAACCTAAACTTATGATGGAGAAGCAGCCCATTCTGGTTTTCATCCTAGCCCTCTGGTCCTCTCTCTGTGTCCACCATTGGTTTCTGCTCTTCCTCCCATCTCCTCAGCATTGACTTGCCGTGGTGCTCTGAGCTTGACATTCTTATCCTCCTTATCTCCAGTCTTCTGGAGCAATATCTCTGTCTTCTATGGCTTCAGCATTTCTTTGAATGAGAACAAATTCCAAATCTTCAGCCACCTTCTGTTGGTTTGCAGAGATGATCTTGGATCTGACTCAATATGAAGTTAATTGTTCAGAAGGTGGTTGGAAATACGTACATTAAGTTGAAGTGAGAAGTAGGGTGTAGGAGTGGAAATTTGGAATTCATCCTCATTTGCAGAATAAGATATTTGTCTCTTAACTTTCCTATACTGACTTGTTTTCCCACTTCTTACTTTACTTAAACTGCTCCAAACTCTCTCCTCTCTATCTCCCATCTGACTCCCTTCTTACATCTCCCTCTATACAAATCTTCAAAGAACAAATGGACCACTATATTCACTTTCCTTCATCTCTTATCCAGGAAAACACTGAATGCTGATAACACTTTAATTGTATCTCTCTAATAGCAACTATCACAGGCCATCTTAATTTACAGTTATTTGGTTCTATATCTCATCTCCCTTGCTAGACTAGATTATAAACAACCTGTGGTCAGGGATCATATATTTACTCATCTTTTTATCTCCTTAGCATCTACCAGTGCATCTTATATATGGAAGGCACTAGTAAATATTTGATATTATAAATTATAATTGAAAAGGAATCACTTTATTTTAACCTGAGGATACTTGATCTGAAGTAAAAATCTAAGGACGAATCCCTCTGAAGTTACCTCTCTATTTCTATACCTACCCACAATCACAGAAATACATCACATGCCCACATTTCCATGTTACATATTATTTCAAATGGGAATTTGGATTTTTCTAAGACAGTCTTCCGGTTAATAGAGAGTACTTGGAATACATGTATGCAAACAAAGTGACAGAGGGTGAGACCATGGAGGATATTGATTAAATGTTAGGTGTAAGGAACTTTTCAGATGCTTAGAGAGAGCTTGTCTCTCAGATCTGATAGACATGCAGCTTCAGGAGATGTCGTCACTGGAATATGAATGGCCTGCACTATCTGCTTTTCTTAGATATGGATATTATCTGTTTCCAGAGGGAGTATTTTTTTAAAACTTCTGTCATATTCAGAAGTTTGCGTAGTTAGCTCCCAATGTCACTGTCACATTTTAATTGTAATTGATCATTATTTTTTAAATCAAGGGCTATTTTAAAGCTCCTTTTAGCTGTGACCTAACCATCTGCAAACCAGAGACCAGGCCATTACACTGTCTCTCCTTGAGTTGTGCTCTCACTAACTTATAAATTGCTTCCACAAATTCACCCAAACAACACAATTGCACCTAATTTGATCTCTTTGCCATGAGCTCCCTCATGCTTGTGCATCTTCCCAACACACACACACACACACACACACACACACACACACACACACACACCATACACTCCTAATAAATAGATCCCAAATTGCCAATTTCAATCACTTTATGGAAGAACAAGGATATATTATTGGTAGATAAAAGTGTTCATTTAGAACTGGGTGGACTATTATACTTTATTGAGCCAGTCTTTTTTCTTCTCTATCTTGCCTGTGGATCACCTTGTGCATCTCCCAACACACACACACACACACACACACACACACACACACACACACACCATACACTCCTAATAAATAGATCCCAAATTGCCAATTTCAATCACTTTATGGAAGAACAAGGATATATTATTGGTAGATAAAAGTGTTCATTTAGAACTGGGTGGACTATTATACTTTATTGAGCCAGTCTTTTTTCTTCTCTATCTTGCCTGTGGATCACCAACACCTACAGGGTTGACAGAAATATCCAGGCTTTATGTGAAGGGAGAATTTTGTTTGTTTGTGATGAACCAACCTAGTTGTCGTGCCAACTGTCCCTGCTTTGCTCTGGAATCTGTGTGGTCTGTCATGTTCATGGATCAGTGCTGGGAGGATGGTGGAGCAGAAGACAGACTTCCTAGGGACAGACAGTCCCCTTGCTTAGACACATTCAGATCCATGTGTGCTCACATCTCTTCTTGACAACACCGTGAGCGAGGGTGGAGAGATGTGTCCTCAGTAGGGTGGGAATGGTGATATGTACTTTAGGTGATTCAGTAGTTTTTTCTCTCCCAGGGTCAGGAGCAAGGAAAATATCAAGACTTCACATCGGCAGGAAACATGGAGGCTAGAGAAGCATCCAGGTAGAACTCTTACTGATAAAAACACGACATAGTAAAAATACCCTTTCTTTGTTGTGAATGCAATTGGAGGTCAACCAGAGCACTTACAGCTGTGTTTTTCCTCATTCACTTGTCATCTCTTTGACTTATTACTGTTTCTCAATTTAGGGGTCTTGAGTTATTCTATGTCCTGAGTCAGTTTCAAGTAGCTCACCCTCAAAAGACACACACACACACACACACACACACACACACACACACACACACCACTGTTAGGATGAGAAGCTGAAAGAGCACAGAGCTTGAACACATACATGGTATTTAATGTTTCTAAACCAGAGTCCAACAAGTCTGGTACAATCAGCACTCCCATGTTTTAATGACAGAGGACAGAGCCTGCTGTGCAAAACTGGCTACTTTGGGTCCCAGAAAAGAGAACAACATTGTTACTGATTGCTCCTGAGACTCCTGAACACTTTTGATGATCAGGGAAGTTATATTGGTTATTTCTTGGTAGCTGGCACAAGAAATGGGGCACATTTTCTACCACCCAAAAAGGAGTAGAAAACTTTCTGTAATAGAAGTTGAAGGCTGAAATAACAAAAATGTTTTGAGGTGTCATTCCTTAAACAGTTTTAACTTAATTCCCATATAAAAGGCCCCGAGCTACGGCAGTTTGTAGCCTGAATCTTCATCTGTGGAGAAGAATGGAGTTTCTAGAATCACCAGCAGCCCACTTAGGCCTCCACCACCTTGAGCCTGTGGTACATTCTGAGTAAATTAAAGTAATTGATATGTGGATGTTGAATAATTTACCATAACCACTAAATGGCCTCTTTTGGCAGAGGAATATTATCATCTTTTAATTTTACATATAGGAAAGTTGGAGCACAGCAAAATTTGATGATTAAATAGGTTATTCTTGGCAGGCTATATAGGAAATTCTTGGCAGAAACAAACTTGTCTGAATTTTCAACTCTCAGCCTGGCCCACTGAGTAATGGTGCCTGAATTGTCCACCCTACCCTAAGTGTTCAGCATCTAACAGTGGAGAAAAATCATGGAAGCGAGCTGATTTATCCAAATCTTTCCAATGGAAATTTGTCTTCTTCTCACACACACACACACACACACACACACACACACTTCACTTGAGTCTACGGAACCAAGTCAAGTAAGAACAAAACAAGAGCTTTGAAAACCAGAAGGGGTAGAAAAGTTTCTATAATAAAGAGAAGTTGAAGGCCGAATAACATAAGTGTTTTTAAATTTTGTGGGGTAAGACATTGTGGAAAATTATTATTAATAACTTTTTATGTAGCATGTAATTCACGCAAATAAAAGCTCAAGAAAAACTAAGACAGAGGATTTCTTCCAGAGTGTTCCATGGGGAAGGCAGCCTTCAGGAATGTGTGCAAAGAATGCCCTGGTACTCTGAAGGTGTCAGTAGTTTGGGTCAGCCCAGAGTGAGGAAGGCCACCTCCAGGGAGTGTTCCCTAGATTCATCTTCTGGGGACTGCTACATAATTGAGTTAAGTTCCAACACCACAAGTTGGATTCTAGTATTAAGGCATGAGTTAGTTCTGGTAGCATCAATAGAAATATTAAGAAGACTCACATACAAATGAATTCCAGAAGGAAGGATCTATATCCCCCAGAAACAATAATTATTGCTTGCCTAAAACCTGAAGGAAGGGAGGGAGGGGTGTTTTAAAGACTAATAAAGATCTCCTGAGGATTCTTATGATATCTAGATTTTACCCCAAGATTAAAATGGTGATTTCTTTAAGCACCCAAGGGCCAGGGAATCCTGCAACCACCTTTTCTTGTAGTCTACCTGTTCACGATGAATGGTATCAAGCTGAGGAAGTAATCAGTCTTTCCAAAGAGTTCAGTGACTTTAGTATGTGTCATACAACATTCTCTTTAGAGATTTTGCTGATTCTAAGAGCAGTGAAAGAACTCTAAGTGTCCTAGCTTAACGTAGAATTTATTTTTCATTTCATCCTGTTCCTAGAGGGAAGATAGGAGAGGAAGTAGGAAGATGGAAAAGTCCTTAAATGGGTGAGTGGAGAGTCTTCTATACTATCAACTGCACAGTGTAGTCATTCCCAGAGCCTGGTTCAGAAGCCTGGCTTTAGGAGAGGATATGGGCAAAGTGAAGAGTTAAGTTTTATTTCTATGCCTGGGAATGGTGCTGGAGAGGCTATTAGAACCCTCTTTAAGCTCAAAGTTTAGAATCAGGCCAATTACAAATCTTCCTCTCCTTTTATCATCCCAGTAGGCCACATGAAATCATGATGGTGACATAGGAAGCTAAGAGAGAGGGGAAGGGCTATTCTATCTTGACCCAGGGTAGCTTCATCTTTCTCAGGAGTGTCATCACAAATACTTGGATCATAATGCTCCTTGATGACAAGTAAGAGGGCCAACAGAGCCTTTGGAGCATCTTAGTCCCCTGAGATGACCACTCCCTGTTATGCTATAGCTATATTCATTGGAGAAAAAATCAGGATTCATGGGAATCCTAGGGCATGAAATAACAGAGAGTCATTTAATCAAAATGACAGAGCTCTTGTGCTAAATTTTCAAGACTACAGTAGTAATAAAAACTGCAAGCCTTAAGCATATCTACCAAGAAAACAGTTTAGGGAAGCATTATGGAGGGACATTTTCACAAAGATCCTTATCTGCACAAGACTGAAGCCACTGCTAAGCCAATGTCACATGTAAAATGAAGGTACCTTCCCATTTGAAGTACATTTAGTGCTGGGCACTAAGTGTCCCATGGAAAGGCAGAATGGTTTAGATAAAGTCAATTTCAGAGCCCAAGGCACTGCTGAGCATCAGCCTCCACATGAGCTCAAACTCCTTCTCACAGCCTGGGGGCAGAATGTAATTCCTCTGATTTTATAGTTTTGATTCCTTCCCAACTAAGCTTGTCCATTTGATTATTGGCTTGCACCTTTCATTTTCTTGGCCTCTTGCTTCCTATAGCTTATATGAAGGAATCATCTGTATAATCTTGTTTGGGTAAGGCCTGGTAGACAAGAAGATAAATGAGACTAAAAACAAAACAAGAATCTTCTGGGGCAATTTTGATTGTATTGTGATTTCCTTTGTCTCCTTTTCAATATTCTTTGCCACATGATGGAGAAATTTATCCAGTCTGGTCATTACCAATCAAATATTTTATTGGCAAAGTTTGGCATGAAAAACGAATAGAATCAGCATATTTCATTTAATCTTGACAGTCTTTTGGTTTATTATTCTCTCCCCCCGAGTCATCTCTTCTTTGAGGCATTTATCTTCCTCTTTCCTCTCCTGGAAAGTCATGATTCCACAACAAATTTCAGTGGTTGGTGCTGAACAAAAACAATGGTAGTTGTAATAAACCAAAATGCCCATGTGAGCTTTATCATGAGACTAGCCTTCCAAATTTCTCACCTCACAGCCTTCTTGGCAGCTCTCCTGGTTCCCCTTCAGGTCTTGGTTCCCCTCCTCACCTTCTTTCCTATAAAGGTGGGATGTATTTCTTAAGCTGCATTATCATCTATCCTATTAGATTGTTAAAAGAAACCCTTGGTAGTAATTTCTCATGGTTTTCTCACTATATTTTAACTTGGGAAGATGGAAAAGGTAAAAAGAATGATAAGCACACAAGTAAGGTTTTATTACCAGATATTTCAACTCAAGGTCAAGTGCTGGGGAAGTGGGTGACCTCCAGTGATAGCCTGCGGTTTTGCTAGTGGAGACGGGTGTGCTCTGGAATATTAAGCAACTTCTGTGAGAGTATGCACCAGGGCTTTGACCGAGGTACCTGTCATGTGCATGAAAGCATTTTGTGGTTGTTATAGTCTTCCCTTTTTTATTGTTGCAAAGCACAGGTCCTGCACGATGGGAGAGGCTTGAGTTTCAGTTTGAACATGCTGGTGACAGAACTTTTTATAGGGTGGACAGGGAGCGACCACCATGTTTCTAAATGTATTTCACCCAATGATCTGTTGTTGCACATTCTTTCTTTAACCATTAATATTATGTCTTCTGTTGAAATGAGAGCAAGAAGGTGGACTAGGAAACAGATTCAGTGACAAGCAGACAGAAAGCTTTGTTCTAAAAAGAATGCTCTTCACAGAGCTGAGAAGAACCTAGAAGCAAGGAAGGGAGAAGCCAGGGCAGAATGGTTTGGGGTAAAGAGACAATGACCCTGGCATCCCGATGTTCTGGTTTACTCTGTAAGAAGTATGTTTGCTGTTCCCTATCAGCTCTGGCAGAAGGAGAAGCTGTGCTGCTGATGATTATGCAGGAAATGGTGACAGCCTGACTTTAGAGAGAGGCATTGTCTTCCAGGAAGATGCTGATGAGCATGACACCTTACCTTTTCCAAACCTTGTCTACAAATCTTTAGGGCAGCCCCTCTCAAATGATTTATAGTCTCCAGTTAAGAATATTCTGAGTAGAAGGCCATTATGATTACACTTACTTAAATTGGGAAGCCAAGGGCAGTGTGGGGAGCAAAACACATCTGGGGAATAGAGTTAGTAGAACCTTTTGCTCAGTTTTGGAATGATTTTGGATCACAAAGTTAGGTGACCTCTGAGAAAGAAAATCTTTAAATAAGATTATATCTCCCCATCTCCAGTGAAAACACCAGGTTTATAATCTGATTACCATTTACTTCAGGAAGGAAATGGGTCGATTAAATTACAAATAAGCATTTACAGATTGATTTCATCCTGAGTATTACACATATTAACATGGAATTTACTGACTCAGACATGATCTTTTAAGCTATAAAATATTATTGAAGGGCAATAGATCAGATGTTCTGAGCTAAAACGTTAACTAATCCTCTGAAACATTCAGAGTCTCTATAAATTCTATTGTATACACAAAGGATTTGGGAGTTAGGCAACAGAAGGAGAGGTTCAGAGAGCTGTTGACTGAGACTCGAGGTCATTTCTTAATGATTAAAAAATGATAATAAACCTAAATCTTCACTTTATAAGAGAGCAGAGAAAATGAGCTCTATCCTCATTTAGATATTTGGTTAAAATTTAGAATAAATATCCAGAATTTTTTCCTGAAATCTTCTTTTGGAGAGATTTGGCCTGCAGTGTATGAGAATGTTTTGGAGAGATGATTTAATCACATATTGATATTTATTGCGTGGGAACCCCATGCCAGGGATACAAAGGTGAACAATCAGGCCCTCATGAAGGTTACATACTGAAAGGAAATAGACAATAAACAAATAAACATATTTCATGTCAGAGATTGCAAAGTGCTGTGAGAAAAATGAGGCAGATTAAGGGAATAGGAGATTATGATTGGGTATATGGTTGTTACTTTTTATAGGGTGGACAGGAGAAGCTTCTATAAAAAAAAGTAATATGTGAGCAAGGCTTAGAGGGAATGAGCCTTGGGGCTTTCTATGTGAAAGGCTTTTCAAGTGAAAATAACTACAAAGGCTGTGTGGTTAAGCCCCATGCTTAGAGTACTTGAGGAAGAGCCAGGAGGCCAATACTTGAGGACAGAATGTGAGAGGTGAGGCCAGGTAGGTGTTATTGACCCATAAGTCTTATACGCTAAATACTGGTAAATATTTGGGTTTCTACTAAGAGCAAGATGCAAAGTCACTAGAAAGTTCTGGGTAGAGAGTGATGTGAACCCAGACTTCCATTTAAAAGGAAGCATTGTGACTGTTGTATTGAGAATATATATTGTGAGAGGGTGGGCAATAGAAAAACAGCTAGACCAGTTAGTAGGCTACTGCAATAATCCAAGTCAATGACTATGGTGCTAACAAAGGAAGTGGTGAGAAGTGGTGAATTCTGGAAATATTTTTAAAGGTTTGCTGATGAATTAGATATCAAGTAAGAGAAAGAAAAGAATCAAGAATCACCCTAGAATTTTCAGCCTCAGCTACTGGAATTTTGGAGTCACCATTAATAAGATAAGAATCCTGCAAGTGAAGTAGATTGCGAAAGAGAACCTTATAGCAATATGCCCATCAGACATCCAAATGGAAATGTTGATTGGCTATATGAACCTGGAATTTAGGAAAGAGGTAGAACCTGAATATATAATTTATAATTCATAAGCATTTGGATAGTACTGAAGCCTTGAGGCTGGATCTAGGGAGTGAGTGCAGATAGAAGAGAGCTTCCAGCATGTTCAGAGCCCCAGGAGATGAGCCACTGGGAGAAGTGGCCAGGGGTAAGTCAGGCTCTACTGAGTAGAATAAGATAATCTGCAAACATGTAGATCGCTCCATTGATGACCTGGAAAAGTTTAGCGGATTGCTAGGGACAAAAGCATGATAGGGGCGGGTTCAAGAAAGAGTGGGAGCACAGAAAATGAAGACAATATGAATAGGCAACTATTTCAGTTTGGCTATACTGATCCGAATGATCCAAAAGAGAGGGAAAATGATTATTTCAGTTTGGCTATAAAGGGAACATGGTAGATGGTAAAGGATGTTAGGTCCAAGGAGGGATTTATTTTTTTTTAAGATGGGAGAAATTATACCTGTTTTATACTGATCCGAATGATCCAAAAGAGAGGGAAAATGAATGATGTTTAAGGAGATGGGATAACTACTGGAGTGATGTTTTTGATGAAGTAAGAGGGATAGCATCCAGGGCACAAGTAGAGGGATTAGCTTTATGACTCTCCCTAAAGGTTGTTATAGTAGTAGCAGGCAGATAGTATATTTGGACACAAATACAAGTGCATTGGTAAATGTGATAGTGGGAGTATGTATTTTCTGAGTGATAATTTTTTGGTTAAACACAAAGGGATTTTGTCAATTGAGGCTGAGTATTGGGGAATGGATATTGGAGGTTTGAGAAGAGAATAAGTCATGAATTACTTATAGAGCTATCTAACAAGAGTAAAGAGACAAAGGATATGTAAGAGACATGCTGAGTGGCATGAAGCATTTACTTGAGGTTCCTATGGTCCTGAGTTTGAAAGAAATTTAAGAAATTTTCTTCAGCTACTTTTATCTGCTTTGATAGAGTGGTGAACTGGATTTAAGCAGGTTTGAGGGTTAACCAGGTGAATCCAATGAAGGCAGTAAGAGACACGGAGTTAAGGGCAATGCAAAGTCAGCATTAGGGAATTAGGAATAATGAAGTCTGGTTGGGGAAAGGGATTGAGATGCAGGCTGGAGTCTCAAAATTATTGAATCAGGTTGCAGAAGAAGTAATCTGGAAACTGAGTTAGAGAGTGGGATACTGAAGGCTTTGATAATGGAGAGGTTGTATTTATTGGTAGGGATGTAATCTGGGGTCAGTGTGTGTGGGGGGGAGGGGGGGGCTGAGATTAGGTGTTGGAAAGGTTATTGAAGGAACAGAGGCCAAGGAACTGAGAGGCCAGGATATAGAAACAACAGTTGTTCATCTGACTCTCAAAGTCAACAAAAATTATGATGAGAGTGGTATTGAGACAGTGACAGGAATATCTAAATTACTGCTTCAAATAAAGGAAGCATCTAGTATAGTCTGATATGCTTCAAAGCTGAATTGTTGTTTTGGCTTGATTTTTAAGGAAGAGGGAAGGGAAGATAGTCCAAAAGTGGCAAGGAAGGCGCCTATTCCACCTCTAGGCCCAGTGGCATGGGGAATGTGGGACAGAGATGCCTGCCCCTGAGAGGATCCCCAAGGAAGGGACACATTTCAGTGAAAGCAAAGAGGTAACATTTATTGTCAGGATTGTGGCTGATGAACCCTGGATTCAGGGAAAGATTTGGGGAGTTCATAAAAGATGGGAAATGAGCACAGTTGGGGGAGGTACCTGGTCTCCTGGGAGTAATAGTCTGAGTGATGAGAGTTATTCTGAAAGTCTTAGAGTTCTCATAGTGACCATCCCAGGCAAGACTTTTGGGCATTTGGATCAGTCCAGATGGTTTCTTTGTCAGATTGAGGTGGTCAGGCTGTGAGTGCTCAGGGAAGGGTCTCACCAGCAGAACACACAATATAGGTTCCTCTTCTTCAGTCCAAATGTTTGTTTTTTTTAACTTCCACTGAAAACACTATTGCCATCTGAGGTAGGTCACAGCATAGAAGTCAGCAAATGTGATCATGGGTTAAGGCTGCATTTTTATTATTTGCCCTGGAAAGAACACATTTGCACAGTAAATCTTGTCCTTCCTATTTTCAAGACTCCCAACTAAGTTAGTTTCCTTGGGGAAATCATAATTCTTTGTTCACCGTTTTCCTTGTTTATCTTTTTTAAAAATCAAAGTTAAAGGATTAGAAAGTAGCTTTGCTTCTGCCCAATTCTGCTAAATGGAAGTTTTCTTTGACTGATCATTTTTATTTAGTATTTTTCTTTTGAGACAGAGATGAACAGTAGGACAGTAGCATAAGGAAATGATCAAAAGTCTTCAAAAGCTTTGGGCAAGAGGTTTGATCAGGAGAGAATTGGGTAGGGGAGGACTTTGAGTGGGCCTACATGAAAAGGGAACAAGTGAAGGCTTTTAGGGGAGAACCTGAAAAAAATCAGAAATTTGGCCAAGGGAGGTGGGGTGGAGGGAGAGCCACAGTGTTGGCATTTGGAGATTTAGCAAGAGCAACCTAGAGTCTGACCCCAGGAACATTCCACATACTTCAGACACAGATGGTGTGCTGATTCTATTTTCTTTCCTGTGCCCTTAAAAAGAAACAACACTCATAATTTGAAAAGAGACAGAAGCTGTTCCACCATTTCTGGTGCACTATTTCTCCAAGCCTCTGCAGAATCTAGAACAGGGCATGAACTTGACCACAACTGCTGCTGCTACTGGCTCAACTTCTCTGTCCACGTGCCTCATCATGTCCCACCTGGCATTTTCCCCAAAAGATTAAGTTGTGTTCATCCTGGCTTGTCTCATGCCAGAGCGTTGGTTCTTGTGTTGGAAGGATATTGCAACCATTGAAGGGGTTATACTGTGCTACACACACTGAAGACTAAAGAAGCCCATTAACGAAGGAAAGAAGAAGCTGACCTGGGATGGTGTTGTCATGCCCTCAGCTTTCTCATCTCTGGGAATGCAGCCTTTCAAGGGCAAGCAGAAAACAATGTGGCTTCCATTGCCTCTGCCTCAGATTTCCCCTCCTTCAGGTTGCCTCCCACGCTAGTTCAGTGGGTGCACCTGTTTTTTAAGGGCATTTACAAGAAGTGGGGGCGTGTCTTTATGGGAGCTTTGTTTCCCAATGGCCACCCCAGCATTCATACTTCAGAGTGGCCCTGATTCTTGTGGAAACATTTCAGGGAGCTAGATGGCATGTTACAGCGCAAATCAGAGAAGGGACTGGAGAGAGCAATGAACTTTTGTTCCTAAGGGCAAATCTCTTTTCCTCCACTTGATAGGGGACAGTGCTCCAGCAGGGTCATAATTATACTTAGTCACAGGACTGGTGCATGTGTGTGTGCCTGTGAGTACGTGCACGTGTGAGTGAGTGTGAGGAGGTGATGATGGAAACCACAAAATACAAATCCCTTGGTGGCTTGGGTTGCAGACTCAGAGTCGAACCCCTCCCAAGGCAACATGGCAAAGGGGACCCATTCAGAGCTTTCCCCATTTCCGGTGTGGTATCCTCCCCAGGGAAGACACAGAAGGCTCAGTCTTGCCTGGATCTGTGAGGCCCAGATCCCACCTCCTCCCTGGGGCCGGCTCTCCTTCCTCTTAACTCTCAGATCCCCAGCCCATCCACCTCCAAGTTCTTTTCTGTTTGTTTGTTTTGTTTTTGTTTTCTGTAAATATATATTTCTTATTTTGGACGTGCAGGGATCAATTGAGATTCTGAAGTGGGGGGGAGGGGGAGGATGACTGGGTCTTTTTATTTTTTCCTTTCTCTCTTGGATTTTGGTGTTTGAACTTGAAAAAAAATAATCACAAGTATATATATAAGCAAATGACTTACCTTAAAAGAAATAAGTTGATTTCATTCTTTTGATTTATCTTGTTTCTCATTGGGGTTGGGTGGGGGTGGGGGGTCTTTTGGGTGGAGGGCTTTTTTGTGAGCTGTATAGATTTCCAGTTTGGACTTGTTCAAATGATGCAGGAACAAAAATCAAAATGAATTTTAAAAAAGACACAACATAAAAACAAGAAAAACTTTGTGATGTATAAAAGCTGTAAATAGTCAGATTCTTTCTCTTTTCTAATGGCAAATTATTTCTGTCACTTTATATTCAAAAAATAAAGAAACTTACCACAAATTATCAGGGTAAAAAAAAAAATCAAGAATCAGAGTTGTTTCCTTTTTTATTTTTTTCCCCAGGGGAGGGGTCTTTGTGCTTTCTTTACTGTGGCTTGGGAAACCTTGTTATAACAAGATGCTCTTGGGGAAAAACTCCTTTCCAGTGGTTTCTGGTTGTCAGTGTTCGCCTGGACTGATGGATCCAGCTGAGTTAGGAATCTGTTTCAACTCACTGATTCTGTCATCTCTTGGTAAGGGGTTGGGGGAGATTATAAGATTATGATCTTAACATAATTTCTTAATTTCCATAAGATTCTTTACTACATAACTGTCATCTACTTTTTTCTCAGCATGGACAATTTTAAACATATTAAAAAATAGAATGGTATAATGAACCTCTGTGTAATCATCACCAAGTTTCAACAATGATCAACTTATGCCAGTCTTGTTTCAACCATACCCCTATCCATTTCCCCTTTCTATATTATTTTGAAGCAAATTCCATAATTGTGTAATTTAATCTGTAAATATTTCACTATGCATCTCTAAAATTTAAGGGCTCTGTTTTAAAGTCGCTAAAATATTATTATAAACATTAAAATTTAGCAATAATTCCTTGCTAGCAAATATGTAGTTACTGCTCAAAATCTAATTGTCTCAAATATAGTACTGTTTTACAGGTGTTTTTTTTTCATTGTAAGCCAAATAAGGTCCACAAAATTAGTTGCTATTTCTTAAATTTCTTTTGAATCATAGGATCACACCTTAACTCTTCTTTTTCTTGAAATGTATTTGTTAAAGAAATTGAGTCTTTTGTCTTGTAGAGGTTTCCACAGTTGGATTTTGCTGGTGGTGTCCCCATGGTAATATTTAACATGTACCTCTGCCCTCTGTATTTCTTATAAACTGGTAATTGTCTTACTCTTTAATGAATTCTTCTTCCATTGCTTAGCAGTGGTTCTCAAACTTGGCTGCACATTAGAATCACCTGGGAATCTTTTTAAAATCCTGATTTCTGGGCCTCATCCTCCAGAAATTCTTTCTTTGTTACTAATGTTGTGACCCCACCCCATCCATAACAAAGAAACAGAATTTCCAGAGGATGAGGCCCAGAAATCAGGATTTTTAAAAGATTCCTAGGTGATTCTAATGTGCAGCCAA